CTTCTTCTTCTTTCATCTTTTTTTCTTGCCTCCCACTTCCTCATTCTTCTTTTTCTTTCAGATTCCTCAAGAATGCATCTTGACACAATCTGCATAAAAGTCGAAGACACCAGCGAGAGCAAAGTGCTCTCGCCAACCAACACTGAAGAGGAGGGTTACGGTAGTGGAGATGAGATGCACTCTGGAAATGAGAGTCAAGGATCTGGAAAGAGTGGAGAGTTGAAAAGACCCGATTTAAAAGGTGAGTTTCTATGGAAAGCGAGTTTAGAGAGCGATTTGAGCAGTTTTAGGCACTTCGAGGGGAGAAGCAAAAATCTAAAAAGATATTAGTAAGGGAAAAGATTCGAACCCAGGTCCTCTAGATTAGTAGCCAACGCTACTAACCACTAGACCACTGTGCTATTGGCAGCATTTTGAATATGTTTTTGCAATGGTACTTTCCTCCTAGGACTCTTTCAAATCGTCTAGAATCGTCTAGCGCATCCTATGAATCTCTTTATTCCAATTCAAATCATTTTTCAGGTCAATTCCGTTGCTCAATCTGCTCCAAAATCTTCTGCCACTCCTCCAGCCTTTCTCGTCATCGTATGCAAGCCCATTTCAAAAGCTACAAATGTACAGTATGCCGCAAAGACATTTCCAGTGAGTTATGCAAGAAAATCCGGCTTTTCTGTGGGTGATCTTTCAAGTTGACTGACTTATTGGGAACAGATTTTTTTGGGATTTAAGAAAAACATATTGTGATTATCCCCTGAGTGTCTGAATGAGAGTGATCTGCTGGAAGGATAAGGAAACGAGGAGGATCTGGAAAGAAAAAAAAAGGGTTGTACGATCACTAGATCATGAGCTGAAATAGAAGCATATAACTTTGGGATAATCCGAGGGACATGAATCAGAATGTTGAATCTGAAAAAGTTCGAAAAATCACGTATTCTTTTCAACTTCCCAATTTAAGATAGTTTCTAAGCGAACACACAATTGCAAAAGGAGATTGGGACTTGTAAAGAACTGAACCTAGTACCTTCAGATCTATTGCCAACCTCACTAGCCATTAGACTATCATGGATTTTAAAAAGGTGTGGATGACGCTTTGGCGCCCGCGCCCGAACAGCCTAGTCGTAATTAGCTCCACTACCACGGTCCCGAGTTGAATTCCCCACTACTCCCAATGCCTGTTGATTTCTGTACTTTCCCCTCTGCACTATCTAAAATCTCTCGGGATCCATTTTTAAGACCGTTCTCCTCCATAAAACCTGTTCCTCCTGTTTCTCAGGTTGTTGTTGTTGTTCACACACTGTTCATAGAAGTTTCATTAAGCATAAATAATAAGGGATGGTTGTTTACCGATTCTCTTGATCTCGATTCCTTCAATTTCACTACTGTTTCTTCTTCTTTCTTCCGCACAAACACACACACACCCTCCGCTTCCTCTCCGGACAGCAGACAACAACTTCAGTGGCGCATTGAGGTCATCCGGAGACAATGAATCTTTTTTCGGCGTGAAGAAGAAGAAGAAGCGCCGTGGAGAAGGAGAAAATTCTCACTTTTCTTCTACGGGGATTTCGAGAAATGAGGTTGCGCAATGGGGATGATGGGGTAATAGGAAGAAGACGAAAATTGATGAGTGTTTTTTTGGGGAAACAAAAAAACCAATAGACAGAAGATCAAAGAGCACCACATTGGGAAGAATTGAACTAAGATTTGCTCAGCTTACTAGGTGGCAATACAAAACGCTTTTTTTCAAACACCACTAAAAGGCGCCTAGATCACCTAATGATTAGTAGCGTTGGCTCAGGATCTGAAAGTACCAAGGAACACATATCCCATTCCCAAACTTATAATTTTCCAGGCAGCGAGTCTCTCCGTGCTCACATGTTCAAACAACATCACATTTCCCGAATGTACATGTGCCGTTGCTGCAATTGGGCCTTTCCTGACAAGTCACTTCTCCATATCCACCTCCAATCAGGAAACAATAACAATAACCTCGATGTTATCCCACATTCAGTGATCAATAGAAGCTGTCACGGCATTTCGGATTCATTTCAACGTACGTCGTTTCACTAAAGAAGACTTTTAGATTAACAATTTTAATTTCAGTCATCCGAAGTCCATTACTCAATCTTAAAAGTCCGGATGCCACTATTCCATCTCTTCCAATTGGCACCCTTCCCCTCCAGTCTCCATCTGCATTCCAGACTCCTCCAGAGACCCCATCTTGGTTGTCAGCACTACCAAAACCGATTCCTAGTGAGTTTCGAGAAATCTAAATTTTCAGTATTCTATGAAATTCTTTACAGCAACCGTTCCAATGTTCATTGCCGATTCTCCGAAAAAGGAGGAGAAAGAAGTCTACATTTCTCAATTCCCAACATGCTCCTTTAAATCTGATCACAGCGCTTTCCATCAACTCAGCTCTGATCGGACCCTGATTTCCTCTCCAATCATAGATACCTCATCCCCATCGTCTTCATCGTCATCATCTAGAATCAGTCCACGTCATGAGTGTTTTGATTGCCACGTACACAAGACTAGAGCATCTGTGGCTGATGCTCAGTGCAGTATCATCCATTCACAGATGACTATGATGTGTCAGGAACGGTTGGAGTCGATTGCTCAGATGGAAGGACTTCAACAGACTGTCTGCAAGCTTAAGCAGCAAGCTGCAGCACTACGGGAGCATAATGCAATGTTTCAGGAGAAGCTTCTCAAGTGCCAGGTGAGTAAAAGTAACCTTTGAATTCGGAAACATCCGGAGACTCCAGATTTTGAACTTTTGCAATTTTTAATGGTAAACTGTCAGACCGAATCTGTGCGTTTCCTTCAATCTGCTAAGTTGGATAACCCAGTAGAAGTCACCAACTTCCTCAACGCTCTCATCAACTGCACAATCATCACAAATCCATAAAACAACTTCTTGAAAGAAATTTTGCAATCTAGCAATCCCCCTCAAAACAAAAATTCCATACATCCGAGCTTTATTTCCTTTTTTCTACCCAATTCAAAATGTATACTGTATATAGATTCCTGAAATCCTGTGTCCATTCTTTTGGGAATAGCATTTCGAAAATTTTCTCATATGTAGCAAAATATAATTTATTTTCTTCACATCCTCACCCTCGAACCCAGTTTGTTGAAAACCCCAACGGGCTCCTGTCCTCTATTTTTCCTCCTCATGAAATTAAACAAATTTTGAAATCAATTTTTGTCTAAATTTTCGAAGTATTCTATCAGTCTTGTGTCTCTTTTCCTCCCTCAATTTCTCAGTGCTTCTTTTTATTTTGCTCTTGCTTGATTACTTAATTAATTGTGCAATTATATTGATAATACAAAATAAACTATATGAGCTTGAAATTGGAAAATCGACAAAAAAGAAGTTCAAAACATTTCAAATGGATCTAGAGTGAACACAGATATTTTGAAAAATATAATAGGACAGAGGAAGAGTCTAACCAGGACCTTCTGATCATACTTCGGACCGGGCTTTTGCCGGGCCCTTCGCAGGCCTCGCCATAGTTTCTTTCTGAAACATTATTTTCAGATCAACTAACTTAGATAAGATAGAACTCTGCGAGTTCTACAAATATATAATACTTGGCCCTTCTATTTTTCGTGGGGTCCCTAGGGGGGCACTCCAATTAGAGGGGCCCTTCAATTAGAGGGGGCAGTTGTATTTTTCGTGGGTCCTCTGAAAACGGATCTTCTATTGGAGGGACATCATTTTTCAGTGAAAATTTCGTTTTTCTACTAAAAATCCATTACAATTTCTACAGTAAAAAAGCAAAACCACCAATATTGCTAAATTTTTAAAAACTGGCACCTTAAAATTTCTCGGGCGCCGTTCGTGAGGCCTCGTCCTTGAATCCGCCATTATATCAAACGAAATTAATTTCTTTGAATTTAGTTGGATTTTCTGATCAAAATTCAGATTTCTTGATAACATTTTGATTGCTAGAATTTCTAGAATTTTCTAAATCTAAAACTCTGAGCTTGATTGCGAAAATTGCTCAAACGAGAAAAACATCTGTATTAGAGCAACGGCATTCAAATTTTCAGGTGCCAGTATTTTTTCAAATCAGACAGTAATTCAATCAAAACAATAGAAAAAAACGGCTGAAAATCAAAGGAAGTAGTAGTCAAAGAGACACTTCAATTAGAGGGGGTACTTCAAATAGAGGGGCCCTTCAAATAGAGGGGGCACTTCTATTTTTCGTGAGCTCTCTAGGGGGGCACTTCAATTAGAGGGGCCCTTCAATTTCAGGGGCCCTTCTAATACAGGTTTTACGGTAATATCATTTTGTAGAACTTGCAGAGTTCTATCATATCAAATTGAGTTGAGCTAAAAATATTGATTCTGAAAGATACTATGGCAAATCCCGCGAAGGCCCGGCAAAGGCCTGGTCGCAAGTAAAATTTCAGATTTTAATTCTTTTTCAGATTTTCAGCGTTTCAGTTCATCGCAAGTATCCAGATCATTGTTGCAAATCTTTTTGAAATCCTCTGAAAATCCAAAAAACACATCAAATCAAAATAAAACGTTTTCAATCTTCTTTTTTTCAAAATCCGTGCTTCTAAGTCTGCCATTGACGCACGAGACGAAAATCTGAAATTGTTTTCGGGTCGTAATCCAAATTCCAGATCAAATGCTTATTGGAATCCAGATCAAACAAAAAAAAGTTTGTTTTTTCTCTATTTGCAAACCTCGGTTGACGCACAAAGAAATTAAAAAAATCTGAAAATCTGAAATTTTTTTCGGGTCGTAATTTAAAATCCAGATCAAGTGTTGGCTCAGGCCCAGATCAAATGAAAATGATTCAATTTTTTCTATTTGCAAACTTCGATTGACGCACACAGGAATCCGAAAATCTGAAAATCCGAATCCAGGTCAAGTGGAAAAAAAACAAGTCAGATTATTTATGACAAATTTTAAAAGGAAAATAAATTTTTATTATCAGGGAAGGAGTCATACGAAAATATGGGGGATGGAAGAAAAAATTATTTTAGTTCACTTTTTTGGCGATCGGAAAATTCGGAGAATCTGGAGATGGTGATGCGGAAAGTTGCATTTTCGACTGTTTTTTAGTAATGTCTAGAACCATGTCACGAGCTACAAACACACGACTGGATCCTGGGGTTGGACGCTCTTTTCTGAAACTTATTTTGAAAATCGGAAAAATACACGTTTGCTCCGATGTACCTGTTATATGTAGCCATTTGTGGGTGACTTCCACGTAGGCTTTTTTCGGCGATACTCGGATCTTTAGGCTGGTGAATAACACTCGGTGGCGGGGTGATCGATAGCTGAAAGNNNACTTTTGGAGCTCCACATCCCGATTTTTTTATTTCATCGTTGGTTTGTTGAGCCTCTTTTGCGTATTTAGCTTCGAATTCTTCCTGAAAAATTAAATTTTTTAGTGGAAAAAAAGTTTCTAGAAAATTTGAGGGTTCAAGACCATCAGATCCATAGCCGTCGCTACTATAAACTAGAGCATTTTGAAAAGTTCTTACCAATTTCTTCTTTCCCTCCACACTGATCCTATACCCCT